GTGTTCAATACTTATTTTACCCGCTGTATACTATTAAAACATTTTAAAGTAAATATAAGAAACAAATAAGATTTTCTTTCAACTTGTATAACGTTCTTAAACATGGAACTGATGAACATTTAACTTTAAATATAAACTGTAACATATTAGAATTAGAATATTGATACAGTGTGGCAGATTTATTAATTACATAAATTTGACAAAATATTTGTTAGCTGTTCCTTATTCCACCAAAATGTTTTGTTAATATTCACACTCTGAAATGTGTCTGAAGGCAACAGTTTWATAATAATTTCCAGAACAGTAATATTGAAATAAGTCCTTCATTATTTCTCTGTATATTGAGTTATTAGTAGGTAAGTGAGTTTGTCTGAATTCACACTTGACTCGCTGTAACTAAATACTCCTAATGTTTGATGGAAATGCCTTCAGACTTGAATTTCTTGATTTACAGATCAATACTAAACAAAACCCACTGCAGACGAGAGTGTTTTAGATGAAGTTGAAGCTTTATTGAATTCAGTGGTGGATGTTTTTTGAAGAAAAAGTACTAAATAGTATATAACATAACAAAATAAAAAATAAGCATATATCATTATAGTTCAATCTAACAGTAATCATTGTTTCATTCATAAAAGCTGCAATGTGTTTTACCCATGAAAAAAAATTTTATAACAAAAACGTTCAGTCACATTTAATAGTTTTGCTGGTGAACAAAACTTATGTTTAAAATGAGAGATTTATGTCTCAGCACACTGAAACAAGTCCAATAACACAAAAAAGTTATGTTTTAAACTCTTTTTCTTTAAATTAAATTAAAAAAACATGTTTTTCTTTATCTCACATTTGAGCAATTTTTGCAACTCAAGTAAAAAAAAAAACAGCTTCTTTTACAAACTGACCCATTCAGGTTCTGTAAATGAAACTGCAGGTGTGTGAACCTGTGTTGCAACATGAAGTTTTACAACAGAAAAGTGCAATAAAATAAACAAACTCAGGTCTGTACACATCCCACGACTGAAGCTGGTGTTCCGGAGACACAGATTCAGTCTTACAGTAACGTTCTGTGGAGCAGGCAAGCAGTATAATCAGAACTAAACAAGTATTTATTTGATAAACACCAGCAGGAAGCTGCAGGCTTATCAGAAGGGTGGGTCTGTTCTTGTTAATTACCCAAACAGACATCTTGTCCCAGACTTATTTTAACTTAAAAATAATAAAACTTTACATACATGAGAACCAAAATGGAGCAATTCTGAGTGGTAAACTAATATTGTTTCTTTAACATTAGCAATAAATTACACTTTAAAAAGCTAATTTTGTTTGTATTTAAAAGACAGGAGGAGTTGTTGGGTAATTAGCATTAAGGTGTTCCCTTCATGATAAACTTTGAAACACAGCACATAAAAACAGAATATACCAGAAAAACAAAACTTAAACCCACCCTTTTGYAACATTTCTATACAAAAATACAGTGCAAAATATTTGCTTATAATTATACATAATGCTGACTAAATGTCTGCATTCTAAAATAAATACATCAATAAAAATATCTAACTTTTAATAACTCTAAATGCAATACAGCTTATATTCTACGTGTGATATGCTCTGAATGCAGCAACGAGCTTAACTCAAAGAGCTCTTGAATTAAGACTTAGATCAGCTGATCAGGTTGTTTTACATTAAAAATTTAAATGAATCATTATTACTTGATCTACAAGGAGTAATGGAGAAGATTATCTGTGATGAGAATCACACAAACACTCAGGAAATAATCAAATCAATTGATCAGCACTGGACTGGCAGATATATATTTGTCTTTTAGTAATAAAACATCAAWAAGTCTTATCAGTTCAGCCAGAATGTGAAAGCTCATCTTATTACATCGTTACTAAAGAAAAGGTTGGACCTAGTTTTAGACCCTCTGTACCAAAGGATGAGCAATAAACAAATTTCAAATATTGCACGTTTTTTAGTTGTGAAACTCTGACAAAAATGCTTTTAATATTAACACTTACAACCCAAATTCTGAAAAAGTTGGGACATTAAATGTAAATCACAACATAATGAAATGATTTGCAAATCTTATGAACCCACATTTTATTCACAGTCGAACATGGTAAACATATCCCATGTTTTGTACCGTTTTTTTTTTTTTTTACAGAGAAAATATTATAGCAGCAACACATCACAAAAAAGCTGGGGAAGAATCAAACAACAACTGTAAAGATAGTTGTCTGAATATGAAACGTTTGGACAAATATTTTCCAACTAATTAGAATTAATAATTAATTTCCAACAGGTCAGTGGAGGACTGGGTTTAAAAAGAGCATATTAGAGAGGCAAAGATGGACAGAGGTTCCCCCGTTTWAGCCAATGCATCTAAAAACAGTGAAATGTAGAATAATGTTCCCAACAAAGAGGAAAGACTGGGTATCACATACATGACATAATCAAAAGATTTTAAAAATAGAGAAAACTTTGAGCTTAAAGAACGAGGTTTGAAGTCAGTATTTGATGCCAATATGAAAATACAGTTCTGRGTTGAAAACAGGTTTGACTCTGGTTTTGCCTGGACTCAGGAACACATCCACAAATCACTGTCTGTAAACACAGTTGTGACATATCCAAGTGCAGGTTAAAGCTCTATCATGCAAACAGAAAGCCAAATATGAATACCAAACAAAAATACAGCTGTCTTCTCAGAGCTCTTTTAAAGTGAACTGAGGCAAAGTAGAAAATTATTCTGTTGTCAAAACACAAAATTCTTTTTAGAAACCACAGACACCTCATCCTCTGGYCGACCTGGTCTCTCGTCCAGCAAACAAAACCCGGGACTTTGAACAGCTTGAATCCTACAACAAACAAGAACGGGACAACATTCCCCTGGAAGACCTCCAGCAGCTGGTCTCCTCTGTTCCTCAGTAGCTGTGTCTCCATGTGGCTGACTCTAGCTGCGTTTCCATTATAAATGTGCGCAAAACTTTGTCGATATTCTGTTAATGTTGAAAAACACAGTTTCGCAACTGCAGTGTTTCCATTAAGTAAGAAATG